AATTTTTATTTTATGTCGGTACCCAATTTAAAATCAAGGGTTATAGAAGAAAAATTTTTTAGTAAAATATGGTCTAAAAGACATGTGGTGAGGCCCGACCCTGTGTTTAAGCTTCACTGAGGAAATTCACTGTATTAAAAGAAAATAGCAAACAATAAAAAAAAAAAAATCAAAAAAATTACCCGGGGTTGACGCATATATTTATCTGGCGGGTCATCACCTGACATTGTTCAAAAACTATTTTTTTGCTGAGAAAATTTTTCAACGAATTAACCTTTCCCAAACTGCAAAGTACAACCTCCAGTTCATACGGACCACTCATTTTAATGCCAGTGTGGGAAATAAAAAATCACTGTTCTGGGAAAACCAAGTAGAAAAAGTTTTATCTCGTTTTCACAAAAAGATTTTAGATTAGATTTTCCCACGAAGTGGCTAGTTTATTGTGCCCCATATCCACCCTGTGGACGTAGCGCGGGGCATATGGATAACAAAAGGCCCTGGAATGGGCCCCAAAAGGGGTTTAAAAAGGGAATACATTGGTTTATATTACATATCTATAGTTCATTATTTTTACAAGCAAAATTTAGGAAATTTGTTAGTTTCTGGTATCTTATTTCTTAATAAGAATTTAAATGTCACTAGGTTTTATATGTCTGTCTCTGTATTCCTAAATGAGTGGACAATTAAGCCATGGGTGTCAAGAGAGTGCCATATCCCGTCACAAAATTTACATTTGTTGATTATCTGTGTGTTCCCAAACGCCAGAAGTACTTGTAACCAAGCCTAACCCTGGCCCTACAACATCGTCGTCTGTTCACATTGCAAGTTGCTCCTAAAAATACTTATCTACGTTTGTTTATAGTGGGTTATAGTCTTCAGGTTTAAATGTTTTCCCATAAAAAATCATTTTATTATTTCTTTTTCTCCTATTTTATTCCCAATGTAGACCAGTTATCCAAAGTTATATTCTCATTTCCTTTGGGACTCTTCTTTGGGTAACATATCAACTTTATAAGAGAGTAATCCTTTTGTGATGGGTCCCTAGCATTTTACATTTAAATTCCCTTTTTCCCTTCAAAGCTGCCCGATGCGGTGGAGTGCGGTTGTGTCTGACCCCCCCCGCTTTTTCAGGAGAGCTCTATAGCAAAAAAACATGGGGCTGAGTAATTGGGGTGGGGGAACACTGTTTGGGGTTTGGGTGCTTGTGGGGCGATTTTTCCCCCCTACGGCGGGTGTTACTTCCGACAATGTCAAAAAGGAGACGTCGGAGTACAGGATGATGAGGTATATTGGGTTGGGCCCCGAATGGGGCCATCAAAAACTTCGTCAAGTTAAATTCGAGGCTGTGTATGAGTCGTTGGTGAAGAAATTCGAGCATGTGAGTTAGATGAAACCAAGCTGTCAGAGGCATTCTAGCGTCTCTCGCCATATACGTGGGTGAAAGCTACGCAACGCCCCCTTCGAGGTGAGAGGGGGATTAAGGAAGTGTTTGCAGCTTAGGGGTACCGTGCTCTGGCAAACCCAAGGCAAGTGGGCGGCGGGGTACATGGGAGCGGAGGGCACTTTTCCTAAAAATGACTTGGGTCGACCCCGCCCTACTCGTGATGAGGGGGTTTCGGACCAAATTCTAGTGTCTTATGTGGGCGCGACGTACATGAGGCTGTGGGGGGGTTTGATCACATGGCGGCGACGGTGGGCGACGTGGAGGGGGACGGTGCAGACTGTGGAGCACCCGTTAAGGGTGGAGCCGTAGTGGAGAGTTCCAAGGGGAAACGAGGAGATGGGGGTTGTGGAGTGAAATTGTTGAGGATTCCCCCTTTTGGTGTGATGGGGGAGGCATGAGTTGGTGGAGCCAGTGGCCATTTTTCCTGTGACAGGGGAGGAAATGTTCCCGCAGGGAGCGGGGCTGGAGGGGGAGCTCGAGGGTATTGAAAAATTTACCTCCTTCTGGGGAGGTGATGGGTTTGTCGAGGAGGTTCCCGAGTTGCAAGGGAGGTGTCGGGACGACAAGAAGGAAGGAGGAAATCAGCAGGCACGAGAGGAGTACCGTGCTTGTGCAAAAAGGGCACAGTAGCGGTTGCTTCACTGTGGGAATCGTCAGAAGGAGCATGGGGGTGGAGGGCGTCACGGGAAGAGGGCGGGAGCGTAGATCAGAGACATCCCGAGCCAGCGCAGAGGTTGGGAGGAAGGATGATATTATGAGTTGCCAGGATAAGCTGATCGGAAGAAGGGGGGGGGGGTGGATGGTGAGAAATCATGTGTTGCCCCTGGGGCAGGAGGCCCTGGGAAGGTTGAGAGGAGGAAGGGTTGGAAGCTTTAGGAAGGCCTTAGGTGTATGACTGTAAATGTGAATGGACTGTGTATGGAGTGAAAAAGGGAATGTTTTCGTATGCTCTTACGTCGATATAAAGTGGAGTCGTATTTCTACAGGAGCATAATTTCAGGGAGGGAAGGAGTGCTCGAGGTGGCAGGGTATAAGATTTTGACTCTGCCATCTGCACGTTCGAAAGGTGGTGTGGGTTTATTGATAAAGGAGGCGAGCCCGTTTGTGTTGCAATGAAGTGTGGGGGGGAGGGGGGGAGGGTTTTTGCTTTGTGGATGGGTGGTGGATGGGGCAGAGGGTAACCTTGTAAGTGTGTATGCCCCAGCTGAAAACGATACGAAAGTAAAGAGGGGTTTTGTGTGTGATGATCTAGTTTTCGCCTTCCGTGGTTTACCTGCAGTGGCCATCGGTTGGTGGGGACTGGAATTGTGTTATCAGGAGAGCTGATGTGGAACCACGAGGGGCAGGGCACATGTTGGCAGTGTTACGTAATCTCTTGGTGGATGTTCAGTTGAGGGATGTGGTAGGTGGGGGAGCGTGGGAGGTGGAGCATACTTTCGTGAGGAGAGGTTATGCGCTAGGTTAGATTAGGTTGTACATATCTCACAAGGTATTGTCAAAGTCTGTCCATACTATTGGGAAATAGCTTTTTCGATCATCGGGCGGTAGTAGCAGAGGTCGAGTGGGATTCATAGCTAGTATCTCTAGGGGATTTCTGGGAAAATTAAATACGAGTGTGTGTGGAAGATGAGGAGGGGTTGGAGGGTTTTACAGCGCTGTGGGAGGGGTTAACTGAGGAGGTTTAAAAGGGGTCGAGGACGTGGTAACGTGGTGGGATGGTGTGGCTAAGGAACGGAAATTTGGCCCTTATTATGTGCGGGAAGGGAAAAGGATCAATTCTTTAAATACCCACCCAAATGACTACCCCCTGGCAACTACCCGAACACATGTTCCTAGCTCCGACTAACCCTTTCGAAGTCTCCTTATTATCAACACGCTAAAAAACAAGGCAGGAGATTTAAATACCTTACCAACCTTTATATACAAAAAGTGTCACAAGTGCTATCACCAATCATTGCAACACTCTTTAACAAATCCATTGAATCCTCCACCCTTTCCCCCCAGTACTCAAAATAGCTAAGGGTAAACCCCATCCACAAAGGAGGAGACCCAAAAAGAGTTGAATAACTATAGGCCAAAATCCAACTTACACCCTCTCTCAAAAATCTTCGAAAAATTAATTCATAAACGAAACTACTCCTACCTTATCTCCCAAACATACTCAAACCCTGCCAATTTGGATTTAGGGCCAAATAAAAATACTAATGATGCTATTATTTCACATGCTAGAACATATATACACTGCAATAGAGAAAAAAAAAAGTCCCCTGGGGATCTTCATTTTGAAAAT